AGTGACGCCCTGAGGCGGGTTTGGGCGCTTGCCCGAGGAGGGGACGGGGCGCCCGGGTAGCTCCGGCACCTTCGCCGGCCTCAGCCCGACGGCTCCAGGGAGGGGAGGCTGCTCCGTGTCCGCAGGGTCTGCCGTCACCTCCTCCGGCCGGCCGGGCGCAGGCAGTCCCGAGGCGAACCACAGTCCCGCCGGCCCCGCCAAAACCGCGCGGACCGGTCGGTGGGGCTCTGCTCACACCCATGCTCCGGAGCGGGGCCGCTGCCCCTCCGCGCATCGCCGGCCTCGGGCAGCGCGGCTTCACCGGGCGCGGAGGGGCCGCGGGACGCCCTGACCCGCGATTGCCACATCGGGGCTCTCGCCGTGCTTGCCCGGCAAGACTTCCTGCGTGACGGGTCTGTGCGAAGCGCTGGCTGTCCCCACACAGCCGACACATCTCTTTAGTCTCGTTCATAATTAGGATTACAAACGTGTGCCATCAATGCCTCCGTCTGGACGCCACCGCTCTGCAGCCGACGGTAAAACCTGCAGTCCCCCCAGAGTTACCTGAGGGACTCTGGGGTGAACAGCGATTACCAGGAGCTGCCAGCAGTCCCCTTATGCTGGGCTGAAGGAGGTTCCCCCTCCCGGCTGCCCCGTTCCCGTGTCACCCCACGCCGCGGTAACCGCAGGACAGGAGGCGGAGGGGCAGACGATGGTGAGAAGCTTGGCACCTGTGGTGCCATCCAGGTGCTCCGGGCTTGGCCAAAATCCACGGGAGGCGTCCCTGGAGTGCCTCTGGGATGCGCGGGACACAAGCTGCCCCCAGTGCCCCGCGGAGGGGGAAACGCGACGGAATGTAAGCGAACAAAATACATCCCCCTCCGGGCAGTGCCGAGGGTCGCTTGTGCTGTTTAATCTCTGTGTGTTTGTAAACTTGGCTGCATCGTTTGTTTTGCAGGTTTTATGGCCTTTCATGCTCCTCTTGGGGAGGACAACGCTGAGCGGCTGCCCTGCAGCGTTAGCTGTGTTCAGGGAGGGGGGTCCCCGCTTTTTGAAAAGGTGCTGTTAGAAACTATTAGAGCTGAGAGCTCGCTGTACTTGAGTGAAAGCAAACAGCCGTGTAAAGCTGTAAGAAAGAGGCTTACTTCTGCCCGGGACCACTGAGGGAGCCGGTGCTGAGCAGCCCTGGTTGCCTGAATGTGCTGAGGCCAGCCCTCAGCACAGGACCGCATCCCCCTGCAATGGGGAGCAAATTATTTGTACCAAACCGCACTGCTGCTGCCTTGGGCCTGGGAAACTTCTGGAAGTCATTTATCTCCAAACACTATCCTGCATTTCATAGGACCAGGTCCTGCTCTCATAGCCTCCAAGTTCCAATGCCAGACCCATCTGGCCTGACAGGGTGGTCAGCAACTGCCTAAATTGCAAATCAAACCCTGCACCCCCCACAGGCCCAGGACAGGACCACAGAGAGCATGGGGTCGAGAGAGACCCACATCTCCTCTGTTTCCATAAAATGCTTAAACTGCTGAGTGCCTTTCCCTTAACTAACGTGGGCACTGCAGAGCAGTGATTACCCCAAACCAGCTAATTCTTCAAGCAGGGCAATTATTGATCCCCAGAGAGGTGTGCTTCGCATCTCATTTTTAATCATTTTTTTGTGCCGTGTAAAAAGAGGCAAGAAGGGGGGGATTGCTGCTGGGAAGGATGTGGGGAAGAGGCTGCTGCCTCCGCCTGACACCCTCATGAAACTTTTTTCCATCTTAGTAGAAGTTACAGCCTGGGAAACAGCACTGTGCTAATCGCAGTGAAGACAAATTGACTCCACAGCTCAGCTATAAAGGGAAAATACTATGTTTCTCTGTCCTCTCAGCTGCACAAAGACTGTGTCATCTGATACCTGTTTGTCCCACATAGGATTTGGAAGAGAGAGGACCCGCTCTCTGTCCTTCACTCCAAATAACCCAAACCTTTGCACTTGCAGACTGTGCATGGCTGCTGCAAGGGTCACAAACAAGCCAAGGGACTTTTATTAACTACTCACCAGGTAACACACAGAAAGGACTATGTTCAGAGCTGACCCCTCAAGCTGCTTTTTCTGTCCCCTGTAGTGACTCACACAGCACCCATACCCCAGAGAAATTACAGAAACCTCTTCTCTGTCCTGAGTGAAACTGGAAATCCCAGAAGTACAGCAAGTCCCTCCGCTCCTTGCTCCGTCTTTAGGTTTCTTCCACCAGTCTAGTGAGGATTTCTGCTCCTTCTGAGGTAATCACAATGGTATGTTCAAATTGTGCTGATCTGAAATGCACATTTAGCAGTTATTACGGGGCAAACGCATCCACCACGCATGAAAACTCATCCGTTTGGGTTTTTTTGTCTGTCAGTGATGAGTTCCATGGCTTAGGAAATAACAAAAAATAAAATCAGGCACCTTTTATTGTCTACAGAAATTGCAGTCCATTTATCCTTCAGAATCTTAAATTCGGGGGATCCTTCCATTATTATTGGCTCTGCAGCAAGAAAAACAAAATGTATTCTAAAGTTATTTGCACTCCTGCGTGGATTGTGAAACAAGCAAGAAAGGAGGGCGGATGTCCCAGCAGGTAGCTCCCCGTCCACACAGGTCCTGTCCTCCCTAGGCTGGGGAGGCCACACTGAAATGTGAACTAAAAAGGAAGATGAAATATCAAGGTAGGAAGTTGCCCATTCCCTATTGTAAAAGCAGGGAATTTTAATCAAGCTTTAATTAAGACCCCGTGGATAATAACCAAAGCACCAACCACATTTATAAACAGCAGATAGTTTTAAATATTTGAATTTTTAAAACAGGCTTAAAATGTTCATTAAATCAGCAAAACAACAATTTTCTTATTTCCCTCTAATTGCCGTGCCATTTAGCCACACAGTGAGAAAGAGGGTTTTTCCCCCAGCAGCTTTCCACGATTGGAAGTGAGCACCATCAGTCTGCGGGGCGAGGCTCCGGCTGGTTACCGCCGCCGCAGTCCCCAAACCCAACAGCAGCTCTGGCAGACAGCGAATGACTAAGTGCCACCAGGCTGCTCAGCTTCGGGGACATGATCAAATCCTTCTCACCCTCCTCAACTCAAGTGTGCTGGCAGAGTCTCTGCCTTGCCAAAAATACGTGTCAAGTATTAGTAAGATTTGTAAAAAACATTTCATTTTTTTAAATCTTGCAATTTGAAAGCTGTTTCACTCACATGGTCCCTTAGTTATAATTTAAAAAAAATTATATTTTAGTCTGCTTCCTAAGGGGTCAGTGTCGCCAACATTCTCCTGTCTGCACAGCTATTTCTATATCCTAATAGAGAAATTTAACGGATCTGGGCTACTCCGTGTGTGCTTTTTAACAGAAAACCATAGCAGAGAGTTACTAACCTATTGTGAACGCCATCCCCTCTTCCATTAACAAATCGCTGTCATTGGCTACAAAAGAAAATAAAAACGTGTTTATGGATCTTGGCTCTTTTTTTTTTTTTCTTCTAATAGGAAACGCAACCAGCACTTTGTTTAAACCCCCTTTTGGTTCGCAGGTACTGTGCACGCCGGGCCCTGCTATGAGGCCGGAGCACCCGCCAAAAGCGATCCCACCCCTGCCGCGGCGGGACCTCCCCGACGGCGGCTCCGTCCAGGCCGGGGGCTTTAATTTTCAGCAGACATTTTTCTTTGCCCCGTGACAAACTTCGCGGGCGTGGTTCGGGAGCGGGCGGGATGCGGGGCCGCGGGACACGGCGGCCGCCGCCCGCAGCGGGGCGGGGAAGGCGCTCAGCGGGGCTCGGCTGCCCTGACAACTCCGTTAACGAGCGATTTGTCCTCAAAAATACTCTCAGAAAACAAGGCCGGGGATGCCCTCCAGCTTCCCAGCGAGGAAAGCTCCCCCCGGCAATCCCCTGCCCTCCTGAGCCGGCAGGGTGCGTGGGTGTGTGGGGGCTCTGCTCGCTTTACCGCCCTCCCTCTCCCTCTCCCGGAGCCCCCTCACCGCCGGCGGCGGAGCGGCGCGGGGGGAGGCGGGTCTGGCTGCGGGGGCCGCTTACCGTGGTGCCACACCTCGGGGTGCCCGTGGAAGTACGACCCGATGCCGTGGCCGACGAAAAAGGGGCAGACCTGGAAGCCACCTCGCCGCGCCACAGAGCTGCGGGGGCAAAAAATGACACCGTGAGGGTGCGTGCCCCGACCACCACCTCTTGCTAGACGGTCCCAGCCCTCGCCACTGCATTGCCACCGACACTGGGTCACCACTTCACACCCGCTCCGAAAGACAGCGGCCACTGGAGCAAACACCGGTGAGCCATTGTTAGGTTTCACAGTTAACACTCCTGGTAGCAGAGACTGGTAGCAGAGGCTGGTAGCTCCTGTCCCAGCCCTGCTGTCTAAGCAAGATGGCAGCGTGTCGTCTCCCTGTCTTATGGAAGATAATCTTTTCCACAAGCACACTGGGAACTAATTTTAACATGGCACAGCACAGCTAAAGTTGCCAAGTTGGGCAGTCAAGGGCCCAGCACACCACTAAACCTCAGCCTCTACCGAGTCCTCCTGAAGTGCAGATCCAGTGCTTGCACTGGGTTTCCTGAAGAGAGGAGGCTCTTGCTGCCAACAGAGAGAACTAAGAGCCCTACTGCTTCATTTTACAATACTGCAAACATTCAGTATGAAAATGTATTGAAAGTCCAGCAAATACGTTCACACTAAATAACAATGTGTTTCTAATGAATTTATCTTACAGTATTTCAGTTCTGCCTGGGAAATCTGCCCTGCCTGTCATGGCCTGCCTCAGGGAGTAGCATCTCTGAGAGCTGCCTGCAGGGCCATGGGTGGCCACTGATCCCTACCCAAGTTGAGAAAACAAATTCCTATCTCAGTTCCTAAAAACTGGAGGACTGGAGGTATATGGGGTATCCTCTGGCTGCTGGGCCACCCCATGTCTACAGGCTTCACTCTCAGGCTCTGCCTGTACTCAAGCAGTGGTGGAGGGAGTGATTTGAGGCAGCTTGTTTCACATACAAACCAGAAAAATATAGAGATTTGGGAAGACCTGGAGATGGATTGGAAGTGATCATCCCCACACTTTCTGAAATCAAACAGGAGCAAAAGACAGGAAGGCACTTAGCCTGAAGAGATTTCACTAACATGAAAAGCTTCATTTTTTTATTTTGAATCAAGGTAGGCACTAAGAACTTCAGGTTTGCCAATATTTACACCCTAACAAATGCTCTCTGAGAGTTTCACTACAGGTGAAAAAGTTAAGAAACTCAAATAAAGGTGTAAGCTCTTACAGAAATTAAAGCATGTTAAACCCCACCGGGTAGCTCTTATTCAGGTGCAAAGTGGCCTCAGCTTGCTGTACAAAGTAATCCCTTTGCACACCAGGCTTCACAGACCCTGCAGTGCTGGTTCCAGTGCCCATGGGTCATAGTCCCAGAATTTAATGCCATTGCAATTGAGGAACATGCTGCTCCACTACAGCGAAATGGCCATGACAGAGTAGAGCTGGGTCAATGGTTAATAATGCTGCAGTGTTCAGACCTTAGAGCATGTTTTAACAGGGTTTGTATATTAGCTTTTACCTACCCATTGCTCTGATACAAAGACTCACCACATTTCTTCATTAACTTTGGAGAAGAATGGAAATTTCAGGTGTAGCAGCCCCCAAAGTCCAAAGTACTAGGCAAAGAGGGTTACCAATAAAGCTAGAAATTCGGGCTTCATTTGTTTGTTTTCAAAGTTCAGGCTTTTACCTTATACATCATTTATGTTGGAAAAAATCATGAAGGATTATGCAGCGAAAAGTCCTACTAGAGATGGAAAGTACTTTTCTTCCCTGCCTTTCTATCACATCCACCACATCTGGGTCAGAGACTTGGCCTGCTGGCTATGACGATGCCGAAGGTCAAGCAAGAAGTACAGGGAATAGCAATGAGTTAGAAAGCCAGATTCCTCAGAAACATACACAAAACGAATGGAAGATCTCCAGTGACCAAGAGCAATGCAAATGATGATTCCCATATGGGTGAAGTGATTCTCTAAAGCGAGATGGGGAAAAGACATCCATGCAATGTGTGACAAAGTTTTATTTCACCTTCTTCTGCAAGTCTTGTTTCAAAACCAGAAACAATTCTAATAACTATTCAGCTTTGCCGATGTCCTTACATGGCATCCCTGAAAGAACGCAGTCATTTTTTGAGATGTTTTGTATTATTAGAGATTTTTTCTCCCAGCAAAATCCATCTTCTGTAGGAAAACAGAAAGCTTTTTTTTCTCTGTGCAGCTATTTTTCTGAGCACCATGACTACATACTCTCCACTGGGCAGGAGAAGCTCTTGCCCCAGCACTCAGCTGCTGTCAAGGAGGGTAGCAGCAGCAGCAGCTGCATGCTGGGCAGCAGGCACATGAGCGCCGGGCACACAGAAGGCAGTGTGAAGACAGTATCCTGTCCTCATGCAGTGAAAGAAGTGGTTCTCATGCATTTCAGTGGTGAATTCTGCCACTTTCTTGCCAAACAGCTTGAAAACAATTCTGTTGGCATCAGTACTTCAGTGGTTACTGTCTGTGATCAAAACAGGGGATCCTGGAACTCACAGGGCTTTGACATCTGCACTGACAGACACCCATGCCCCTCCTCCTTCCCTCTTAAAAATGTCTACACACAGAGCCTTGGTATTCTTTACATAAAATGTAACGTGGTCAATAAACCTGAAGTGTCACACAGAAAACCCGTGGAGGAAACAAGCTGCAGGTATGAAACTCAGCCGCTTTCAATCTGGTTTTAGTATTTGCATGTCTTTCAAAAGGACCTATGGGAATTTCTCTCCATAGCTACTAGCTTTACTTTGGAGTATTTAAAAAATCCCAGTGAGCTCTCACCTGCTTGTGGAGTTACAGTAAAAAGCCAAAGCTGCTAATCCAAGCTACAACTTGCAAAAGTAACTCTGTAAATGTGCGTGTTGGCTGTAACTTTGAAACAGCTCTGAGAGTGAACTGAACTGTTGGTCTTGGTTAGCCTCTCTGGTCTCCAGGATTCCCAGGCTGTGGAATCTGATTAAAAAATCAGGATGACGTGGAGTGGAGCATTTTTGCACACATTTGCCATTTGCTGCTGACAACATTTCAATATTTTGGTTGAGCACTGTCCAGTTCAGGATCTATCAGGGGTGGCTGTTTAAGGTTGTATCCAGTTTTCCTGAAAGACAACCTTACAAGATTGCAGCCCCAACTTCATCAGATGCTTCTTGTAGACAGGCAGTCTATGCTTAGGCAGCTGGAGGAGCCCTGGTTGCAAGTGGGAAAGCAGCAAAGGCAGGAGGCAGAAGTTGGCATAGCTGAGCTGGGCTGCCTGGCATCTGCTGTGGCAAAAGATGTGCCAGTCTGCCACTTCCCCTTGTCCATGGGGTGTGCATTTCCAGAGCAAAGGCTGGGGCAGCAGAGCCACACCACACAGACAGCATGAAGAGAAAAAAAGAAGTTTCTTCATAGTAATCATTGTTAAAAATACCTATTGACAACATTTATCATCACAGACATTATTCTTTGAGCCATGTTGCATGCTTGGGCAGAGGTGAATTGGGCAGGATTAAAAGCTCAATCATTTAGTGAGCCCAGTACTTGATTTTATGTTTTGTTGCCATGTGTTCCAGCCCAGTGGCTGCGGAGTCAAGAGTGCCTGCAGTGCTGCTCTTCTTTTGCTTGCGGCAAAGCCAGGCAAAGTGTCTGGCACTGGGATGGATCAGCAGTGGCCAAGCCGGTAAAGGAACATCACTAAGGGCCAGACTATCCACCTGAACGCATTGCCAGAGCCTCTCCTGTGGTGGTATCGTGCTTCTGAGAGCAGAGACAGGAGAGACAGGTATCAGTTGCCATCTGAGCATCCTCTTCCCATGTTGCCAGACAACAGCTAATTCTCTGAAAGGAGGGATAAGTGTGGAGACAGGCATTGCTGTCCTGTCAGCAGCCTAACAGAAACTGCCACAAAGCAGGAACAGGCAAGACCAACTCTACAAAGCTCTCCCCAGTACTCAAGCTTCCCCTGAAAGGAGCTCTTGGGTGATAAATCCCTGCTGTTAAGAAGCTGAAAAGCAGGTTGAAAGAATTTCCTTAGGTGGCTGCCCTGTGCAGATAGCCTCCAGAAGCATCTAAAGGAGCATTTTCTTTTCCTTTTACCAAATCTTGTCACCTTTTCTTCAAGGTAGGTCTGGTCTAGTATTCTTAGCACTCACTGAAGACAAAAAAGTGACACAAATCCTATTTTCAGCACTGATAGCAACTGCTTCTCTGGGCTCTCTGATGGCACAATGGAAGAAAGAATTTGACTGATCAGACAAGATGGCACAGACTGCTTTGCTACCCAGGATGAGCATCCCTGATTCTCAGCCAGGAATGCTTCTCCCACAGAGCCAGCTTCTCTCCTCAGGGATGAAACTTTATCAAAACCAGTCCTGCAGAGCAGCATGACATGAATGGCTGAAGTTGCTAAACCAATCTGTCTTACAATTCTTGTCAGTGAACACACTTGAGAAACACATAACAGCCCTACAATAATTGTGTTCTTATGTAGGGATCTGATTTTTTTTTTTTTAATTACAAGTAATCACGTTTTTCTTAGATATATTGTTAGCGGAATGGCCACTGAATGTCATATTTGCTTTTTAAAAAAAATGTACTGAAAGCAACATCAGCCTAAACCACATTTACTGGTGATAAAAATATCTATTTTGAATAGTACCGTTGTGTCTAATTTGAGAAATTATGAAATTCTACAGGAAAAATATTCAAGTGTTTTCTTCTTAAATAGTAATCCTAGACTGAGGGAATGCACAGGTTCAGGGATTCCCTATAATGACAATAAATGTTGAGGTATAATTAGTAATATTTTTGAAAGCCAACAATTGTTTTTTGAAAGAAAGGTACATTTTAGTTTCAAACTAGAACACAAATTACTGTATTTTTCTTACAATAGTGCTGAACTTTTATTTGAGGTTCTCTGTTTCTGAAAGCAGACATGATGGATTGAAATAAAAGATAATTTATTGCAATGCTTACTTTCAAGTGGAGAGAGAAGCAGTGTAATTGTAATTTACAGTAGCTGTCAAGGAAAATCTATCACAGATGACATTAAAATGACTTATTTTGCCTGAGCCACTTATTGTTTAAATGTGCATAATCTGATAGAAACAGATTTTTTTAAAATCTGCTTTATATTGTTCTAAATTAATATCAAAACATATACTTAGGAGTTAAACATTTTAAACCATTTATTAATACTTTCAACGCTACTATTTTTTTGTAGGAGTTGGAAATTGCTTTATTTAACATCATGTTTAAGTTTTTTAGCTCTCTACACTCATAACACTTTCATGGACCTAAACTCACTGTCTAAAAAGAGATTTCAAACTAGATTTATTTATATCTGAAACAGAAATGTCAGAAGTGGTAGAAGGAAATGGACCATAGGGCCCAATTCCATTTCCACAGGAGCTGACCAACAGTTTTGACACCCCTTGCAATGGGAGTTAGCAAAGACCCAAATTTAAGCAAAGTAACTTCCATGCAATCTTTTATTGCAACTTGTAGCCGATGGGAGAAGGAACTGCTATCAAGGAAGTATTCAGTGTCAGCTACTGAGCTTCCATAACAAAGACTGTGTTTGAATACTGACTGCAAACTTACCTCTGAGATATAATTATTCTCAAACCTAATTGTAGAAAGAAAATATTCTGATTATTTGCGTGTAAGATGGATTCTGCATATCACTTGAGCACCTTTATAGAAATACTGGTGAAAGGAACTTAGACACGTTTCCATTCTGATGGACCTAAATGTTTTCAGTTTGTAGGTGCTTGTTCTCAGGTATTATATCTAACTCTTCTGAAACTTCAGATTTTGATGTATAAACGTATGTATTATACATTATATGTCTGTCTGCAAGCAAATGCTGAATGACAAATAATCTGAAACACAGTTTCACCAAGTCGAGGTGATCCTTCAGCAGAGGCAGTGTTAAAGTAGTTCTAAGCAAATCAGCACATTTAAATCGTCAACATGGTAAAATCTTGAGAAATAAAGTTAATGACCTGCTATTTCACATATAGTTTTGAATAGTTACGAGCTTCGATTAATCTGCTTTTCAGAGGGGGCGCTGACTATATATTTACACTTTGCAAGCAAACTGACCTCCGTACCAACAGAGCAAAAATCCAATGTCACATTCAACTCTGTTCTTTTTATTTCTTCTTCCCTTTTTTTTTTTTAATACAGCTAAAATTAATGTAGTGAATCTGTAATGAAATGCATTATCCTGCATGGAGATTTATCAGATTTTCCAACTGAATGCCATGCTTTACTAGCACTAGCTGGAGTTCACCTGCATGTTGGTGTGGCGTGTGGCTCTTTTTTGTAAAGAGTTAAGTTGAACACAAAAAAAGGGAACAAAGGTCAGCACCCAGCCGCCACTTGAATGTGAGATTTTTCTTTTTATTCCCCTTGATGTATACTAGGCTCTGTGTTATTAGTCTTAATGATGGAAAATTGTAGTGTTGATACAAATCTTTTTTTCAAAGTAGTAGGCGGGAGCTCCATTTGTTAGTAAGTTTTTTTGTGACTAAAAGCCATGGACAGTACATTTATGTAGCAGTAAAAGGCCTAGATGCTCTTTCCATAGCAGAGCTAATTATTCCTACTGTGACCTTACTGATCTACCCTGTTCCTAGTACATCTCATCTGCACGCCTGTTCCTCTGTGTAGATGGTGTCAGAGAATATGAAAAACCCTATAATGAAACCATTTTCATGATGGAGAAAGGCTACTGGAGTTGCACTTGCTACAAAGAGGCTCAATTATATGAGTAATTGTGATAATTTTCTACATTCATAGCCTTCAATGGGGAAAAAAGAATGAGAGCCACAAAGGAAAATTACTTTAACAAGAAAGTACAGAGAGTAAAAATGGAAGAAGAGACAAAAAGGGGGAAAAAAATAACCAGAAAAAAAGTTTAAAAAATAGATCTGGAGGGAGGAATAGCAAGACAGGGAGAACAACAGAAATGCTCAAAAAGCCTATGTGCAGCTGTGTTGCACAATTAAATTGAATTTTTTTTCTGCAGTTGATGAATGTGACTACTGCAAATGTGCCTCTGTAGTTAGCTATCATTTGTTGTTCCGTGACAGGAAAAGGATAATTACCTCTCAGAGAGAATCAAAGGCTGACATGCCCTTTAGACACAGCCATGAATGCAGAGCTCGATAGAATGCTTGAATAAGAATCCAGTGTTCTGTGCCCCCTTCTACTCAAGAATAAATTTTGTTAAAATGCAAGAGCACCACCAGTAAATTTGTTGAACCCTAGGTGTTCAAAAATATGAGGTGCATCTATCGACTCATCCCATTTGCAAAAATAAAACTACATTTTGAATTCACTTCTATTATATTCATGGACAGTAAGATAGTGAGATATGCATTAAATTTCTTTTCCCAGTAGGGGTCTGATTCAACATTTCCTATGAAAGAACAGAAAGACACTATCCTTTTTCTCCAGGCTAGTTAGCCTATAATTTAAAACTGTCAAAAACACAATTTTATACAAAGTCTTCAATAAAAGCTTCTCAGATATAACCCAAAGAGGTTTTACTAAAGTTTGATTCAGACTCCGTTACAATATTTTTAAAGCTATAAATACATCTAACTGATATTTTGCCGTTCTCTTTTTCTCTTAAAGTATTTGAAGATTTACAAAGAAAAAAAAAAAGCAGCATCCTTTCAAGGTGACTAAGCCTTGCAGCTTTTAAGTAATCAAAATGAATTCAATACATGTTGGGACCATTAGCAGTCCAAAGAAGTATCGCTTAATGAAATGTATACGATATACGTCTTTTTCCTTTTTTTTTTTGCAAACATTTTAAAATGATCCATAGGTACCTTCAAAAAACTAAGATGCATTTTTATTCAGAACCATCAGCAGCAGAAGAGTCATGACTGCATTTATGTGAAGGCTAGAAGAGATGCAAAATAGGGAAAAATCTCTGAATGTCAGCTCTTTTTCCCCCGTGACGTTAGCAAGCACTGCTCTTTGTAAGATCAGAAGCTCTCGAGTTAAATATTTTTGCAGTTTTTAAACAAAGAGACTTATTTATGTTGACTAATTCCTTTGTAACATTCATTATTGCTATACAATGAAAATAATGGTTTCTAACCTTCTTACATTCTTAGACAGATGAGGTGTAGTGTCACACAGAAATAAAAAAATAAACTAAAGCCCATTGCAAATCAGATGTGTTAATTTAAATCTACCTTATGAATATCTTTGTCTCTTTCTACAGTTATCTTTGCTGACCCTAGTGTAATTCACTTTAAAAAAAATACCTCTTACCCAAGGAACAACATTATAGCTTGGCAGTTCACATACTGATATCAGACTGAAATGATGGTTTTGAATCATAAAACATGTCATCAGCTTTATACCAAACCACCAATAACCTTTGTCCCACTTGCCAGCCCTCCTTTTACTTGTCAATATAAGGCTTACCTGATTGTGTTTCCAATTACAGAGAAGGGAGCCCCTGGTCTGCAAGCTGCAATTGCTTCATCTCTACATTTCCTGGCAACCTCCACTAACTTTTCACCAGATTTATCCACATTGCCCACCAAAAAGGTTTCAGAAGTGTCACCATGGTAGCCATTGTAATACACCTAAACATATGCAGAAATGTAAAGACATTTTCTCATTTTGCATTCAGAAACAGATCGTCTCCTTAATTAAATCCATTCTTTCTAGGAACAAGCTGTATATCGCAACAGATAGACAGGTAAGCTGTATTTGCAAGAATGAGACTGGAAAAGCAGAACACTGCAGAGG